AGTTTTTACAACGTACACCTTCATGCAAGACGACACCCTACCACATTGGGATACCTTGGCCTGAGAATACTTACCTTGAGTTCAGGATGTCTCCGGTCCCCTTTTGTGGCATCCTCAGAAGTCAGAAGGCCCTCTGAAGAGTGAGGGGAAAACCTTGGAAAGCCACTCCCGTCAGCACCGATCGGTTTTCCCCAAGGCAGCATCTTCCGTGTTGGTTAGCCTTCGATTCCCAAACCTAACTGACCAAGATAATGGTTGAAACCCGACTTAAATTGGATTCCTTTCGCCCTAAAAACCAAAGAATCTTGACTAACATTCAGAAATAACTTGTGATCCTTCTTGACTCATCACTCTGGTTTCAGAATTCAGACAAACGATAATGAGAAGCAGCCCTTTTCGGAGTTTGTGGCCAGTTTTCGAAGAGCTTTGGCCAGAAGTATTCAAGCACCATCAATTTCACAGATTACTGAAGGCCACATCCTTTTTATTCCCTTAAGCCTCCCCCCGCACCCCCGGAAAATTAGGAGAACATATTTCATTAGAAAACACTTCTCCCCACACCCATTTTTTAATGCAAAAAATCTCCCTACAACAATGCTTGTTCTCAATAGAAGAGAATTATCTGTAACTGACGGTTCAAACTGTGCAGCTTTTGATGCTCCCGGAGCTTGGTTGGTAGCTTGCAGACATTTTATTACCCAACTAGATAGAATCATCAGTGTGTGGGTTTGGGTGTAAGCATTTATATATCGTGCACAAAAGTAAAAAAAAAAAAAACACAAGAAGAAAATGAAAGAATAACACATCCCCTCCAGTAGCCCAGATTCAAAGAAGCAGGGATTAACACCAGACAAGCTATTAAAGAGAAAACAATACCTTAATCGAGGAGCTTATCAAGAAAAAAACCATAACCAATACAGGCAGGGTAAGATACTGTAATAAACCGGGAACAAATCCTACACTAATCGCAGAGATGATGTTGCCTATTTGGGCCATGAAATATCTGCAAGAAACCAAGCTCAGGGCACACAAAATTCAAAACCTTTTTCTATCAACGTCGAGAAAATCCTTTGAGTTATAAACCTAGGGATTCATTTATCTTCGAGGGTGCGTGTGTGATTTCTGAAACAGACTTAAAACTATCTGTATTCCTTATTAAACCCTTACACTTGTTAATAACGATTCGCATATATCGTATCCACTTAGAGAGAGTTATGATCCTGTCGCTCATAGAAGCAGCTCTAAACTAAGATGCTTACACATCCTGATCACCTCAGAGCAGGTGAGGCTGCCAAAATGGGAAGGCAAACTATTAAAACCAACCAACAAAAACTCTGACAAAATTGGAACCGGGTTTAGATTTTAAAAAAAAAGTGTATTGGATATCCAATACCAAATAATAAACATGACAGTATTAAAAATGTAGAGAGTATACAACAAATACTACAGAAAAATAATGTACAGAAAGGTAGAAGTTTACAGCAGTCTTCAGAATTCTCCGACATCAGAACTGTAAAGCGGTTTACAGGAGTCTCTCCTGCCCCCCCCCACTTTGCCTTCCCGCCCGCGCCCCCCCTCATCCAACCCTCTTATTCAAGTGGAGGAAACTGCACAGAGCAGCCATGAGGCTACAAGATACACAATGTCGCAAATTTAAAATCACAAGGTATGTAAAAAAAAACAGTGTTAAAATGTAAAAAGTGCAATACATTATTATACACTGGCTTGAATAAATGTTTTCTTGTCATTTTTGATTCACCCTTTAAAAAAACCAACTCTGAACAGTTGCTTTATTATTAAAAAATATTCCCCACCCTACTCCACCCCTCCCCAGACTCATGGCAGTATCAACAACGGTCCCGATGTTCTACGAAAGTAGCAATATAGTATAATACAACAAGAACCCACCGATGGGAGGAATACTGAATATACAAGGTGATGTCTCTTTGGGTCTAGTGAGAGAGAGAAAGGCACACACCTGGGGAAGCATAGTGTGCGCACCAACTAGATTCACTGGATGCGGCGAGAACTCCGAAGATAGAAAAGACTTCATACTCTCGGCTATGAAAAAGGATCTGTACAATGACAAATGGTCATACAAAACACTTTTAGCCACAAGATGACCCGGATAATGTCATTTACCTTTTACCTGCCTGTCTTGACTTTCCAACAAAGGGCGGAGCCAATTACTGTCACTCACCCTGATGGACACACAACTTTAGGTCACGCCCTACGGTTTCGATTCGGAAAAGTTCAACATCTGTACACATTGGGGTGTTTTAACGTCCTCTTTTAACATCTTCTGATGAGGCAAAAGAGTCTTTAAAAAGATGCTTCTGTGGGTTTATGAGGTTGGGGAAAGTGGGGGAGACGTCCCTTCTGATACGGAAACTCTCTCTAACCTCCAAAAATGCATACAGAAGACATCTAGATGGAGGTCAAGGTGTGAATCTTTCCACTCCTTGGATTTAACTAAAAACTGCTCACCTTTTTTTAAAAATGTGTTAATTGCTCCACCTCCAAGCAAATAGGAGGATCACATTAACTCACTAGACTGAAAAGACATAGTGGACAGAAATTTACACCCTAACCGTAAACAGCATGAATTGCCTCTGAGGGTTACTGTTGGAAGACAGAGCACTAAGGTGGTTTACTTTGAGTTTTCATGGCACTTCTTATTATATAATTGCAAAAAACATTCTTTTAAAAAATAGATGGCTTGTTTGGATTCAGCGTGGCAGTTCTTAACGCTCATGCTAGACAGGGGCTAATCAGAATGAATTAGTTTCAGCTCATGGATGCAAACAAAGGCTGAGCTGGAAGGGAAGGGAAGGAAAAAAGCGTGGAAAAAAATGATAAATGGGATGGACAGAAAGACGGAGGAAGGGTGATGTAGCTCTCTTCTTACCTGCTCCTAAAAATAAATTCTTCTCTGTACAATTGGAGATAACATAGGCCAACTTGAATTGCTAGCAACATGCAACCTAAACTTTGATCATATAGGAAGTTAAAATAACTTACAAAATCTCTAACTGATGCCACCCTATCAAAATCTTGTTATCACTGGACTTGGAACAACAGCAATAGCACTTAGACTTACATACCGCTTCATAGTGCTTTACAGTCCTAAGCGGTTTACAGAGTCAGCCTCTTGCCCCCAACAATCTGGGTCCTCATTTTACCGACCTTGGAGGGACGGAAGGCTGAGTCAACCTGGAGCCGCTCAGGATCGAACTGCTGGCAGTAGACAGAATTAGGCTGCAATGCTGCATTCTAATCACTGCACCACCACGGCTCCAATATCACTTGGACCAATTATGTTGGTTGGAATAAAAAGAAAACCAAAGCCTCCCGTTTTTCAATCTCTTTTTAAGCTAGCATGAGATACCCGATGCTGTTTGTTTTTTTAAAAAAACAAATATTACTTTTTTTAGCATGTTTATCATAGAAGATGGCAGAGAACAGTATGATTATGGGCAGCAAACACAAAGAGAAAATGCAATTTTACCAGTTTATTAGGAATTTATTTATCTCTCCTAACCCACTCCTTTCTTCTACCAGCTCGGGCAGCACCTGAGTCACAAACATACACACCTACATTCCCCCCCCCCTCTCCTGCAAAGTTAATTTGTTTGATTGTAGTTCAACACAATCAAACCTTGAAGATGATCTACAGCTGCATTAGAGTCTTATTCCAAATACTTAAGCATACAATGATCAAGTACAAGCCAAGTGTGAGCCATAGCTTATGTCTGATCTTTGTATGCTAAAGTATCTGGAATAAAACTCCCACTTCAACGCAAATATCCGGAAGGACACAACTCTTGAAATCAAACATTCAAACAATAAGAGCTGTGTTGCTAAGATACATTGTGGTATCTGAGTTTAAAGGACCCAACATTTATGAGAGGGTTTTGTTGAATGCAATTCCCTTTACAATTGGCAAGAAACAGATTAAAGCAGAGGTGTCCAACCATGGTGACTTTAAGGCTTTGTGAACTTCAACTCCCAGAATTCCCTAGCCACCCTGGCTGGGGAATTCTGGGAGTTGAAGTCCACAAGTCTTAAAAGTCGCCAAGGTTGGACACCCGTGGACTAAAGGATGAATTTACAAAGGAGACAACAACTTTTAAGTCTTCATTCTTATTTTTTACAATTCCCTTTGATGAACTGGGGCTGGTTGATATGATATCTTTGAAGTCACAGGTGTGCTGCTCACTTTCTGTTTTGGTAAGGCCTTGGACGGACAGAGGTAATGACAAAAGTGAATAACTGCTGATAAGAGTTACATCGCAGCCATCCTTCAGAATACTGTCTTACTTTTTCCAAGTCACTGCGATCGGGGAAATTACTCGTAACAATAATTTATTATAAGTCACAAGTGGGCATATTGCAGGGGATGGCTTAAACGAGTCTGACGGATAACCTTGTGTTGCGTTGCATTGTCCCTGTAAACAATGAAGCTCGTGGCTCCCAGCCCAAGGCTTACTTATTTTACTCCTGCACTGAAAACGCTCAAAAGCAGAAAAACAAAAAAAATAGTTTGCTCCGTGTTAACATTTCAAACCAAACGGATAGTTAACCTCACAGTGATGAGAAAGGATCAGGCTTTTTGAATTATTAGAATATAAAAATAAAAAGAGCTTACAAAAATCAATGCAGCATACCCCAAGGCCATGGATTACAACTGCTGGAAGGTGACAGGATTATTATACACGCTTTATAAAAAAAAAAAAAGAAAGAAAAGAAATCCAAAAAAACAAATCCACACTGCCAATGAATTCCCGCATACACAATAGAACAAGCAATCGGACGTCCGTCTGGACTTTGGGGGGGAAACAACACAAATTTCTTTTCTTTTCTTTTTTTTTTCTGTCAGGTTACACTTTTTAATAAAAAAAAAAAGATACAATAAAATAAAAACACACAAATAAAATTGTACATAAATGTGAACGTCCAACACTGAAAAAAGCAGGGAAGGTCGCAGCAGCGAGACAAAAGCTGCCTCCGATGAATGCTAACTTTTGCCTGGATGCTGGATTTCATCCCCTGAGACGTCGCCCCACTCCTGGTTCATGTCAGCATCAGCACCGCGGCGAGAAGCGGAAATCCCCAACAACCTTCAGAGAGGTTGTTCCGTTTCGAGGCCGATGAACTCGAAGAGCCACTCGGTTAACCGGAAGGGGGACACACACACCCCCCGAGGGTGCTGCAGCCGGTGGGGCAGGTCTCCTTCTGTGCTGTCCCCTAGTCTTTATACATTTCCTTGTGCTCCAAGGCGAAGTCCCAAGGCCCGGGGTTTGGAGTCATTCCTTGGGGAAGGCGATCACGCAGTGGTGATGGCGTTAAGGTCCTTCATTAGTCCTTCCAGGTGGGCCATCTCTTTGGTGAGTTCATCCGGTTCGTAATTCTGCAGGGGAGTTAACAGGAGGTTTATTGGACAAGATGAGCGCTTAAGACTTATATATTGCTCGCAGTGCTTCACAGCCCTTTCTGAGCGGTTTACAGCGCCAGAGTATTGTCCCCAATAATCTAGGTCCTTTCACTGACTGTCTAGTGCCAGGGAAGTCGGAAGATCCGGGCAGTTCAAATGGTTGCAAAGGTTTATTGCAAGCTAAAGCTCTGGACAAGAACCTGAACTACTAACAGCCAAAGCAAATTGGTGGTAGATAAGAGATAAAAGAATTCAAGGTGGAGCATAAAGGGACTCGGGACTGATGAGTGATGATTCCTACCTCGGGCTCAGTCTGGTCCTCTCCTACATCGACCATGGAAGGATGGAAGACGGAGTGAACTTTGAGCTTATCAGGATCAAACTCCTGGCTGTGGGCAGAGTTAGCCCTCAATCCTTCGTTCTAACCACTGTGCCATCTTGCCAATGGTTTTAAGGTAGCACTGGGCAGTCAGGCCAGATTGCTAGGCGGTTGTTGCATTCCAATGTTTGTTTTGTAGGGAAAGGTGAAGGTGGCAGTGACAGCTCCAGAAGGCACCACATAAATGAGATTAAAAATGATGAACTGAGAACGAAAGTGATGGGACTGGAGGAAAGAAGCAGGCAACTTTCCTGCACCCACGATAATAGTTATGAAGCAACGATTCACATTTAATGGCCTCTCCAAATTTTGCTGTTATATACAAAGGCCAAATTAAACCATTGGTACATTCGGAACAGTCCTGCCAAACCCATTTAACTGGCGTTTTAGAAGGCTTAGCAATGCTACTTCAGATCTTTGAAATTTGGCATTGCGCAGCCAAAAGGGAACAGCTACTGAAGAAGAGCAGAAATGCATCATTATTGATGAACCAAAGATGGGAGCAATTTAACAATAGTGCACCTTATAAATGCTTAATATATCCTGTAGTTAATTGTCACTGGCTTTTTAAAAGCTTGGGCTGCAGTGTTGTGACCCAAGGGTACCTTCCTGGAGGCTAAAGGACGGCTTGCACTTGGCACCAAGGCTGCTAGCTTTTAAGGGAGATGGTCCCCAACTTCAGTTAAAAAGGACAGAGTGCACTCCGCTGATTGCCAGGAGAGATGGACCAGGAAGTGCTTCAGACCAGAGAAACCATTTCCATAAAACTTGACCAGCTACAATATTTAGGTTTATTTAGGTTCTCCTCGACTTACAATCTTTTGTGTAGCAACCATTCAGAGTTACAAGGGCACTGGAAAAAAACCTTAGGACAGCATTTGCGATCTTCCCAGCTGGCTGGCTGGCTTTTGAAAAGCAGGTCAATGGGGGAAGCTGGCTTTGCTTAATGACAGTGTGATTCACTTAACAGCTGAAGTGATTTACTTAATAAATGTGCCAAAAAGGTTGTAAAATTGGACGTTATTCACTTAACCACCTCCTTGCTTGGCAACAGAAATTCTGGTCCCACTGGTGTTTTATAAGTCAAGAACTATCTGTTTCTGGTCTATTTCCTTTCTGCTTACAGTGTGCAGTAGAAGGGCCTCATTTTTATTATTTTTACAGTTATGTATCGGCACCGAGTCAAATAGGATATAGCATGACCAGGCTATCGCCTAGAAGCACACTTACACTTTCTGTGTCTTCAAGCATCCTTGTGGTTTCCTGCACTTCAGGGGCACTTGGGACCACGACTGGCATTGGAGGCCGAGTCCTTCCTAGAGTTCCAATTGATGCTGTCTTCACTGAATGAACGGGATGGCTAGAAGCTTGACACAATTATAATCACAGTCAGTCTTTTAATTGACAAACATATATAATGGCATGTGCTATCACAACTTTCCCCCCCCCTTCGCTAAAACGAGGGTGGGCATGACCACCAAGGGCCATGCATTTGACACCCCTGTTCTAGAGTAATTTTGTTTCAGCTGCCAAAAACTTCAAAGAAGCTCCGACGTTTGCCTCTAGATCAGCACATTTTGCAACTTTTGAGACGCGAGGATTTCAACTCCGCACACGCTGGCTGGAGAATTCGGGAAGTTTGAAAAAAAAAAAAAAGAAAACTCCAATCTAGAAGATCCTGTTAAACTTTCACTCTCCCGCACTCACCTTGCTGTGATAATAAAGGTGTGCTTGGCAAGGCAGGGTCGTAAGTGCTGCCAGCGGGCGGGACGGCTGGCACAGCGAAGCTCTTCAGAGGATGAGAGGGACGGACGTGGGCAGTGGGCAGGTTCTGGCTTGTCTCCTCTTCCTGGGTACTGGGCAGGTAGGATGCTGAAGCACTTTCTGGCTCTTGGTGATCGGCACAACATGTCTGAGACAAAGACGCTGGCATGGTATCGGTGCTAGGTGTGTTTCGAACAGATTCTGGAGACGGGGGAAGGAAATGAACGGTTAGCTACCTCAGGGAGTCCTTGGAAATGCCAGGCACCTTCCATGGTGTTAGTTGGGTCACAAACTCTCTTTAGTTCCAAAGAAGGCCAACAATCTGAGAGAATGAGAAAGTCACCCCAAAGCTCACTTAATTTAGCACTTAGACCATAACTCTACACGGCTGCTAAAAGTTTCATGCTTTTTATTTAGGCTCTGTAAAGAGTTAAGTTTGTTTTGAAAAAAAGCTTAGCATGTGATCCCATCATCACTGAATCAAAACAACACAAATAATATATTCAGCTTTCTAAATCACCACTGAATTTGCTAACTGATTCATCCTTTAGTGAACTGTCTGGAGATTTCTTAGTTGCCTAGCTTTCAAGTGGTTTTTATTAATGCTAGGTTTAGATACCTCTAAGCTGTTAGTTTTTCTATATTTGGTGCAAAAATGGGTTCTCTTGATGTTGGAAATTAAATCAGACGCTGCTAGCGCTCTACAATTAAATAAGGGAATATTGTCATTATTTGCAGCTTTAATAATAAAGAGAGCAAATTATGCAAATCTAAATTCTCAACAGAGAAACTGAATTACCGTCAGATCCAAGATTAAATAAAATTCTAAGCGCTTAAATGAGCCATTCGTGGGAAAAACACCGAAATGAAAACCTTATTCTCAGAGCTTACAGAGTCTAGAGGGCTAGTTTGACTCCAACAGAACATTGTGCAGCAAAACAAAACAAATCCATCTACAACGTGTGCTACTACAATAGGAAAAAGGGAACACACAATTAGTTCGATCGGCAGATACAACCTTCTGAGTTCGGTAGCTTTGGGCTACAGGCGGCCACCCAAAACATGTCGTTTGGTATTTGCCATTAGTTCATAGGAGGTTCTGGCCCTCGGGGTTCTTTTGCCAAGGGTGGAGCTCCAAAAATGGATCGTTCTTCTCACCTGTGGAATTAGCCCTGTCTGAATGGGACACAGATGTGCCAACTGGCCATAGGTTTGCCTGATGATGGAGATAGTTGCAGGTTGGAGAAGCGAGGTTGCCGGAGTGGAAATGATGGTGAGGGTTATCAAGGGAATGGATGGGATGAGCACTAACCACAGCTGCGAATGAACATAAAACAGAAAAACAAAGCTTAACACAAAGACCAACCGGCATGCGGGCCGAAGTGAAGCCCCCGCCCCGACACACCCTGCCCCTACTTTCATCAACAAAAAGGCATTGAAACAAACAGATAGAGAGACTAGGACGCCCGGTTCCAGATTCCTAGAAGAAGAGAAACTATTCGGTCAAGAAATTCCCAGGGATGCAAACATTAGGAAGCAAGAATTGCAGATGCTGGCTGTTTGGGTGCTGAAAAACATCGGATTTGCTTCAAAGGAAACTTTACTGGTTGAGGTGAGATGTGAGATTGAAGCACAGATGATCAAACTGAAGTTTCCGCTATATGCAAACAAAGAGGAATTATGGTCTCTGAGGATGAACTGGCAGCTATGCGTTGGATCATAATTAGGGGTGGGTAATTTTGAACCAAGCGTCTCCAAGTTTATGGTATTATATAAAAGAAATTGTGTGCATTATTTAAGATAAAATTGTAGGTTTACAGTGTACAGAAACACACTAACTACTTGTAATCGTTGATCACTGATATTACAATTTCCCTTCAGTTCACCATTTCTGCACTCACGCTACTGCCGAGTTCATTTATAAATCTCCAATCCTTAAGTAACCTTAAAGGATCACATTTTCACTATCTGTGTAGATCAATTCCTGTGTTGAAATCAACTGAGGAATCCGAAGTTTTAATTTAGCTGACTGCAGATCCATTACTTTCTGCTTGCTTTAGTTAAGCTATTCACTGTTCCCAGACTGCCAATGGAAGGGAATATAGCTATGAGACCATGATAAATGATAAACCTGCAATGTATTTTATAATGAGTAGCTTTGATATATTGCAGATTGGAATAAAACAAAGAGTATAGCTTACAACAAACTCAGTAATTCAACCATTCTCATGTTATTGGTTCTGTTATTCTATGCCAGCCTTTGGCCATAATAAAGCTTAGTTTTCCAGTAAAAAGAACGCAAATGCATTAACAGAACACTATGATAGGAAGAAATAATTTCTGAAAAGGAAGGAATGTTATTAATCTCCCTTTATTAAGGTTGGGGGAAAAAAGCAAGGATTTGCAAAATTAGGAAGCGTTCCAAGCATCTCAACTTGGAAAGACAGTTTTCTTACACTACAGGTGAGAAAATAACTCTGTAAAAAAATATCTCTACCCTCACCAATTCATGTTAGTCTGACTATTGCATATAAAAATGGTTCACCTTCATGATGGAAAGTACAACATTTGGATTTTTATCGCCGTCAGCGTTTCTGAAATACCTTTTAGATCACAATGATTAATTAGTTACAGGCATCTTCTCCTTGCCTCAATTTCTCAAAATATTCTTACTGTTTCACCACCCTGAGTTGGGGAACCATCAAGCATAAACTTGTCCCTTTCTTCACCTCCAATCTTGTAACCTTCACAGCCGAAATACATATGTTTCTCTCTAGTGCTTTCCCAGCTTTTTCAGAGAAAAATAAAACCATCTAAAATCTGTGCAATTTCATGACGCACCAATTAGTGTGGCATCACCGTAATTATATCAGTTATGATAAACGGAGGATCTCAACTAACCCCGCTGAAAGGAAAACTGTTTTCCTCAGCCTCTTCTAGCACTTGTGTACATGATTTGTAATAGGTATTAGCAGGATCTGGCTAATTTACAAATGCAGCCTGGCACTGATTTCTATGGTTCCGCCATTTATCTCGTCCATTATACTTAAATAGATTAAATTGATAGAACCCTCAATTGCACATGACATCTCCTGGCCCTGCCATCCATATACAATGGCTCTGCAAATTCCATTGGGTTGGCAATGTTTGTTATTTAAATCCACTAGGCTTGCCATTAGCATATTGCTATGGAGATCCGGAGATTGCATCCCTATACTAAGGCGAGGCGAAGAGAGTCCAAGGCCATTCACTCGTTTCCTGGCATAAGTCTAACCTGCGATATAATACAGGCTATTCTTCTCAGAATATCTGCATGACACGCCCACAGTCCGGGCAGATGAATCTACAAGAACAGGGGAGGCCTGGGGTTGAAGTCAACGTTGAAGGCAAAGGTAAACAGGCTATTTAGCCAGGAGTTTATTTAGTGCTCTTCGGATTAAGGGCATCGGGCAGTTATTGCTTTACATGAACTTCAAGGTAACCTCATATGGATGAGATGGAACCAGAAATGTCACCCCCCTGAAGCTAGACTTACGTTGAGGAGGCTGAGAATCAAACGGCATTGTCATCTTTGGTCGCATCCCCCTTCTTCCTGCCAGGGTGGACATGCTGTCCTCGGACTCGTGCCCTGGATTCAGGAGAACAAAGGTCAGGTTCTGCTTGCCTTTCTGTCCAGGTTAGGAAAGAACCGCCAGGTTCAGCAGTGAAACGAACGATAAGCTCACCGTCCTCTCACCTCTGTAGGAGTTTCGCCTCTGATGGATATTGCTGTCCATGGAATTGTCAACAGGGGTGATGTCTTGGGAATTACGAGGGATCGGGGTGTCAGTCATGATTGGATTGGGATCTGGAGATTTGTCAATAGGCTTCAGCTCCAGCCTCTCGTGATGGATCCAAAGATCCGGTGGCTTGACGTCCTTGGAATTGCCTTTGTATTTATGAGACCCGTTCACGGATTTACAAGCAGCTCGTTTTCTTAAAAAGGAAAAAAACAAATCACTTATCCCATTTTCCTGCAAGCGTTATATTCTACAAAAGTATCTTTGTGAAGTATAACACTGCCCGCTAGTATGTTTTGTGAAGGTCTTTGGTGTTTTCTTGCAGAGGTTTTATTATCTAAACTAAGTACCATCATCAGTGCGAACAACTCAGCTCAGAGAGGACCAAGGAGCCCTCATTTCAACCCTGACCCACAAAACATTCTTTCTTAGTATGTTTTATATTGTGCATGAAGGATCTTCACTTTTTCTTTCCAAGTGCTCATCCGAAAATAGCGGGAAGTGTCCTTGTGTGTATCTTATTGGATGCCAAAGTCAATTCCACCTCTCAAGCTCTGAGAAGCAGCTTGAAGGCAAACAGCTACTGTTTTCGCTTCTGCTGACCTTATATACTGAGAACTACCCTGCCACTAACTGCTGTAGATTGTGTAGCAACGAAAACCACTTCATCTATACTTCATGCAGAAGGAGAAGGAAGACGCCAGGGGGATAATCTTGAAGAAGTCACCCAGAAGCTGTTAAGACCGCAAGATTTTTATCACTATAGCCTATCTCAGTAAAGTACAGTTTTAGTCTTCCTGCACGATCCATTTCCTGATCTGATCTACTTCTGTGCGAGCAAACAGAAGGAAAGAAAAATGAAACACTAGAAGCCTGACAGATTTGCATGATTGTCTCTTATGCTGAAGAGAGGTCAAAATGATCAATTCCCCTTCAACTAGTTTTGCCCAGGTGTTGGGTAAGGAAACTCCAAAACAGTCTTAAAATTAGCATTTTTCTAGTAAGACCGGAAGCCAAGTTATCCGGGAAGGGACAGACAAATGTTCCTACCATGGAGAAACAGAGGCAGAGCAGCTAAAAAAAACCCCCAAACATACCCATTCGCACAAAATAGGGTTCTGAAATGGTTTCGACTATACTGCATCCGAACCAGAGGTGGTATTCAGCAGGTTCTGACCAGTTCCAGTCGTGGAAATTTTGAGTAGTTTCGAGAACTGGCAAATCCCACCTCTGACTGGAGATTTTACAGTATCCTTCTCCTGCCACGCCCACCAAGCCAGGCCCAAACTATTATTACACATTATCCGAATACATTAGTTCACCCTCCAACACTGTTCGTATTATAGAATTGGAGAAAGTCTAGAGCTGTTAAACTGGCACAGAATCTTTATGTGAGAAAACCCTAAAATTTAAGTCCACAAAAGCACAATGTGCAACTTTATTGTGCCTTTTATTTTGCCTTCATTGTAAATCACACCCATATCCCTGAAACCAGCAGAAAGACATGCGCACCCCTCCGCCCAGGGCAACGGAAAAGAAAATCTTACTTCTTCTGGTGAGAGGTGGTCCTTCGAGTGCAAAATACAGCAACAATCACTACAACCACAATGGTGATCACTCCCACAGACACAATTATGATCAGGAGCATATTGTATTCTAGTGGGGAGGGGCTGCCGTGAGGGCTGTTGCTTCCTAAGAAAGAACACAAAAAATATCCGAAATGATTTTAGGGCTGTAATTTGCACTGAAATGAAAGAATTTAAAATTATTGCTTAAGCTAAATAAAAATCATGTTATGCAGCCTGCCTTGTTGGGAATTTCAACTGAGTTTTTCTCTAATAAGCCTTTGACATTGACCTAAAAAACACACACTATCTTTTGGGGAAATTGTAACATAAATTATTTCAAGCTCTTGGCTCTCAACAGAGATGAGAAGATACGTACCACTGAGGGGTGTTTTATAATCTGTTCCAACATCCAATGGTCGATTTCCTTTTCCTGTAGACCCCAATGCTGGAAAATAAAATTTTAACCATGTTAAGGGTTTTTGACTATCTCATCTTGTTCACTTTTCAAAAGGTAATACATTTTTCTTTTGGTTCTACACAGATCACAGATGGGCAATTTGTGGCTTCCCAGCACCTAACCAGCTTGAGATTACATTGCCCCGAAATATTTTAGAGGAAAATCATTACTGCTTTTTTTTTTTTTTCAAAAGTAAAAGATAGGAATGGGAACAGGAGGGTTCTAATAGGCCAACCATCCTCATCTGAAATAAAAAAGAGCCCTTCCTTTCAAAAACATTGATCCTAAACTGTACCAGAGAATTTAAGACTATTATGCTGAAGAATTTTAGTGCAAAAATTTTGGACTTTTGCTGGGGGGAAGCTGGGGGAGTTAAAGGAGGAAATCGGAACAGTTTGATTCTCATAATACTTTAGCTTCAATCCTCACTGTTAAAACCCTAAGAAACACCCCACCTCTAAAATACATCTTAAAGAGTTAATTGCACTCCTTTTTGTGATCTCATCAAATAACAGGATGGTCTCTTGAGTTTCTGTCTGACCTCCAAGATAGATGCATTCTCCAAGTACACCCACATACAGACGTACACAGAGACTCCGAGAGAGACTGTAGACTATATTTAAAAACGTCAAACCGATTGTATTAATAGCGAGAGTATATCTCTGTAATCACGGATATGCAAACCATAATGTAGCAGCCTAAATCTTTTCTGATAACAAGACAAACTGTAATTTTCCACCCATGTAAGAATTTTGCTTTTTTTTCTAATTCCCTGTCCCCCATTTCTGAACAGCTGGAGGCTAATGCTTATCTTACAAGAGCTCATACTCAATCACTGATATGGCAGGTATTTTCAAGACGTATTAAATCCGGAAGGGAAGTGGGCACGTTATGATTATCCATCCCCCTGCTTAATCCTTTCTAACAAAGCCCAGATCACATGTAGGAATCTCTACAACCATGTAACATTCAGTTCTTGACAAATTCCAGTTGATAGATGTTCCTGTCCATTGAGGGCTGATAAGAGGTAAATGCAGTGAGAGAGTCACTTCAAAGAGAATGCAAGGCTGAATGAATGCAATCATTCTTTGCCACCAAGGGGCTTTATTCTTCTTCTTGCTTTCATTTATTTAAAGCTATTGTATATTGATTTCGGTTTCTGATGACTGTGTACAAACAAATCCTTATTTATTTATATGTAAATCATTTTTTGCAACGTATTGTCGGCCTTCTAACAAATAAAAGAATACTATAAAAGTTTAAAAAAAAAGTAAAAGATTAAAAAGTCAAAAGTCTACTCATTAAATGGACTATTTTCATTTTAAAAAAGAGCAAAATGTACTGGCATACAGAGAATTCAAAAGCCATTCTGCAGCTTTAATTTTCAACGATTTTGCTTCTAGATGGGAAAAAAATTGCATACATTACAAATATGCTGTTCACCAAAAGAAGCTCCGAGTTTTTATATTTTAAAATTTCACAAGACTCCTGTCATTTAATAGCGCAAGAAGAACAGTAATATTCATAAGAGACAGCACGACACATAAAGCACATCTATTGGTTTACCTTGATCATTAGACATTTTATCTGATGATTCCGCTACCAAGGGAAGCAGAGGGGAAAAAGCACACAAGAGACCAAAATTCACTGACATGGAAAGAATAATGTCTGAAAATGGGAAAGGAAACTCATACTGGACACTATGAAACTCAAATGGACCCAACTACGGCGTCCTCGACTACTGACTTGATCACTTAGTGACTGTTCAAAATTCTGATGGGCCTCCCTGGACTACCCAAATTCAAACTTCTGATAGCTACGTGACCACATTTTCCGGTGGTTTTGCTGAAAACCTGCTTTTGTTAATGACGGCTTTAAAAAAGGTTGTAAAATCAGGTGGGCCACATGGTTGACACAATGTATAACCAGCACTATAATGGTTGTAACCTGAGGATTATCTGGACGGGCAAAGTAGGTGAACAACTTTTGCCTAAGGACGAAACCCTTTCCAAGGACCAAAGATGATCTCAAACTTTCGCCTCAGAAGCAGCGCACAGGCCAATTCACGTGCTTTCCTCAACAACAAGGAAGGAAAAGAAGCGTGAGGAAGAAAGAAAAATGGGACTTCTCTCGCTGGATATCTTGGCCTCCAATCCAGCTCCCAAAAGACGGATCCTGTGAGAACCCATCCCTCAAAGAGACAAGGTTGCCCACCCCTGTGCTAAAGCTTTTCAGAAAGCATTAGCTGCTCTTCAGATCAGCCAGTACATTAATGTACATCAGAGAAACTTATTTCCTAACAAAAACATTCGAGGCCACTGCGTTGCACAAGTTCAGATAATCAGCAGTTCTTCTAATGAGGACAAGTGCCTGATAAACAATCTGCTTAAAAAAAAGAAAACACATGCAAAATATTGCTTATAACAAAAATACCTTTTATGTTTATTGCTGACTGGTTTTCACCATACAGAAATGACCCGAAAAAATACTATCCACTTTTCCTTTATTGCAAATGTTTTAACAAATAGTGGTCAAATATCATGGTAAAGTAAAGCCAAAATCCCAGATAGAAAATGACTTTAAAAAAAATGTTTTACAGCTCCCAGCACCAAGTGAAACCCTTTTCCTCATCAACTGATTATCTGGTATATTAAATCAGAAAAATAAAGCCTTCCTTTCCAACTTACCTTTCGGTGTCCTGAACTGTACGGCCTCTGACATGGGGCCCATGCCTTTGGAGTTCCGGGCTTGGATCTTGAAATAATACGCTGTGTCAAGGGTCAGCTCCTGAATCTGGTGGGTCAGCCTATTGCCTACTACAGGTTCAATGACCCAGTCGTGTATTTCAGCATTGACGTCGGTGTTATAGTAAATTATGTATCCTGCACAAAAAAAAAACAGGAGGGTTTGCGAATTATGAAGGCACATTTCCGAGCTCTGAAAAATTCACACATCTCAAGTTTTCTTGCAATCTCTTCTGTTTAAAGATGTAGGCTTTTGAATTATTGCCATTGGGAAAGTGTGTGTGTGTGTGTGTGTGTAATGAGGGTGAGACGATCCCTCCCCATCCACTGATTTTCTTTTAGCCCACGCCTCAACGAAATGTACACCACCTTCCAGATGTTGCTTCAAGCCGGCAAATTTTGAGTGTGCAAGAGTTTGTAAACATATGTAGTGAGGCTGTATAGTACTTCCAATTCAATTCCCCAAGCAGTTCAGAGCACCAAGGGCACAAATATAGCATCTCTCTGCAACTCTGTCAAGTAGATTTTTCTTCTCCTATGCTGAGCAGCTGCTACCCACAGTTGTTGTGCAACTCTGCCTGGAGTGGTGGGAAGCTACTTAAGAAGTTGGGAGACAAGCACTACATATGTAAGTCCTCTTACATCTTCTGAAGTATCTTTCTGAAATCAAATCCAAGGCATCTGTACACGCAAGTTGCCTTTGTTTTGCATCCGCTGAATCATCCCTTTTGGCACAAAAAATATTACATAACTACAACCGATAAAAAGCTGCATCTAATGTAATTAATATCTCTCTTCTCATTTGGTTGTAACCGTGTCATCCCTGTATTTTATCCAAAAGATGTTTCACCTGTAATTTTGCCATTGGCTTCAGATGGAGGTTGCCAGTTGACAATTATAGTTCTGGGCTTTCCTTCTTTGCTGACCACTGTTACATCTTTTGGTGGAGAAGTTGGAACTGCAAGAAAATTTAAATTAAACTGACACTGATCTTTATACTTCAGTGTGTTTTCTGTAAAAGTTAAAGCAAAGGAAGTAACAATATAATCCTGTAAAAAAAGGCACTGCATGCGACAAATACCTTGCTCAAAAGTAGTGCCATGTGCTGTCATGCTCCAGGTGCTTGATCTTCGGCCTTTTGTCACCATGACAGAGAACTCATACAACGTGTTTGGTTTTAAACCAGTGACCAAGAAGCTTAAGGTAGTTGTATTTGCTGTCTATGAAAATCAGAAAATAAAAATGTAAATATTTCATTCCTCCTCCTCTCTCTCTCTCTCTCTCGCCTCACTCATGGAAACACACAATTGAATCTCTTTTTCAGTCGCAGAAAGTTTGGACAACATTCCTGTAAATCTCCTGTTTTCCTCACCTTGTACTTTGTGTTTGCAGGAATGTTGGTTTTCCAGCGGACTGTGTAGTAACGGGCATCTGAAACCTTCTGGTTCTTCGGCAGAGAGTTGTCTGCCCAGGTGATACGAATGGTGTCATGGGTCAGGATGGAAGCCTGAACGCCCACAGGTGGCATCATGGGGGAGGGGTCTGGCACTGGAGTGTATGGAGCATTAACAACAAATAAATCAACTTCAGAAGCGTCTAAAGAATTGATGGGTAAAATGTGGGGTATTGCAATAAAAAAGGAAGGTGGCGTTATACGTGAATAGAAACAAAAGGGTGGAATGCAGGGCAATACAATGAAATGAGAGGTGAGGAGTGGAGTGGAGTGGAGAAAAAGAGAGAAAAGCCAGAGTTAATAGGCAACACTGCACCAGCAAAACAAGTTCTCAGCGATTATTTTGCTTCTTTTTAAAAAAAACAAGGCATCGGCAGACGCTACGGGATTTAGCATTTAAGTAGGCTATTGAAGATAACAAGGACAATGACTTTCAAATCTTCAGTGTTTATTTGAAAATGTTTACTAATCAGAATATACAATATTATAGTTGCATTAAAACATTAATTTATTTCAACTGAAAAATCAAGGTAGGATTAGCATCCAACAGACAGTGACACAGAAGTACAGTGTTAAAGCTTAGTGTTAAAAGGAAAGTGTGCATCTGCAAGATGAAAAACATTCAGAAAATATCTTTATAAGAACTAAGATCTAGCCAAAAAACAACAATCAGCCCAACAATAAAATACTAAATCAGTGTTTTCTTTCAAACTACTTATTTTCCAAAGCCCCAGAAGGCAAGACAAGAAACAGTGGATGGAAACTAATCAAGGAGAGAAGCAACCTGGAATTAAGGGGAAACTTCATAACAGTGAGAACAGTCAACCAGTGGAATGGCTTGCCTTCAGAAGTGGTGGGTTCTTCATCATTGGAGGTTTTTAAGAAGAGATTGGACAGCCATTTATCTCAAATTGTATAGGGACTCCTCTTGAACAGGGGGTTGGACTGGAAGGCCTCCAAAGTCCAGCTCTATTCCGGTTGATTGATTGATTTGACCTTTCTTACAAGGTTTAAAAGTTTTTTTTTTAAACCCAATTGGTCATTTAGTTTAAAGAATGATAACAACACACGGTATTGAAAAACATAACATGCTGTTGACTGACATGCATTTATACCAACTTGCTTGCAATTATAATACTGTAGATTGGGAAGCTCAGCAAACAAATTTAAGGATGTATAATCCATGCCATGGCCAATGTCCCGAATTGATATCAGGGGTTATATAAAGAAAATCAGAAAATCGCTGATCCAGATTTCAAAGTCATTGTTCAGAAAACAGTTCAGCAAATTATCTCCAAACACAGAAAAAAGAAACAAGCCACCAGCAAACTAGAAACAGTTTGTACACCAGTATGTTTTTTTGGCTAAACCATTTAGGCCATCCCATCTTTACCTGTATAGGCTCTTGTCACTGCACTCTCATAAAGAGGGATCCCTTCACCAACGTTGTTATATGCTTTCAAAGTTATAACATAATGGGAACTGGGATCTGGAAAAAAATAATAACTCTATTAGTGTGTATTAAGCACAAGATTCTTTAGCGCTACAGAAACATCTGTTTTCAGAGATAGTTCAAGAGTCATATAAAATGTTCTTAGCTTTTATCATATTAACTCAGGCACAACAAGAATGAAAGAAACTTAACATCCATTTTGCTATACATCATGAAATCTAGAGTGAATATAGAGGTAGAACACTTTTAATACCAAATGAGGACACAAAAAGCAAGCATTTTGATCAGCGTTGATTTTATATTTCATATAGATGAGCCGCGGTGGCACAGTGGTTAGAGTGCAGTACTGCAGGATACTTCTGCTGGATGCCTGCAATTTGGCAGTTCAAATCTCACCAGGCTGGACGTTGACTCAGCCTTCCCTTCTTCCAAGATGGGTAAAATGAGGAGCCAGATTGTTGGGGGCAAGAGGCTGACTCTGTAAACGGCTTAGAGAGGGCTGTAAAGCACAGTGAAGCGGGATATGACCAGGTGCTATTGCTATATTGTTACTTAGCAAAGTATCAGATTAAAATCTTATATAATTACCCAAATTTTCAATAGTGTAGTATCGTTGCTTATAATCCACCTTGATGGTCTGAGCGTGGGGACTGCCTACGCCATACCCTATGGCATAACCTCTGACCACAATGTTCTGGTTTTCCGGTGGGGTCCAGCTGACAACAATACTGGTTACAAGTGGACGGACGTGCAATGAACTTGGCACTTCTGGAACACGAGTTTCTACAAAGAAGAAAACTGATTATTTAAAAGTGTTAAGACAAGAAATAATAAACCTAAAAGACTTTTAAGAGATGTCACCAAGTTATTTCGATGATTATACCCCACAGAGTCACCTTATTGGGGAGATGGGCGGCACAAACCTTTAATAAATGAATAAAAAATAAAATAGTTTCTCAGCCTCATAAAGTAGACCAGCTTGTTAAATCTTGGCATCCATACCATCAAGGTCACTCTCAAATGTTTCTGCTGATATCCAGTCCGTAGCTATTCCTGTGCCATTGATTGTTAAAGCAGCCACTCGGAAGCTGTACTCGGTCCCTCGTTCCAAACCTAGTATAAAAGACATCATACTGAAATACAGTATTCAATGTTAATTGCAAACAAGCGTTCTGCTTCTAATTAGAATAGCAATAGTTCCGTGATCCTGTTACTTCGAAGTGCCTCAATGAGCACCTTCAAGAGATTATTATTATTTCAGAGTTATAATTTGAGTCACAGCTGACACAGATCTGGTTAAACAAATACTTTATGTTTTGGCCTTTCATCTTCCTGATGGTTACTGGAGCATAACCCACAGCTAAGCAGGACAAATCAACAATATTTGCTGTAAGACTCAATATTTGCTGTAAGAGATTCAGTTGCCAGAAATTATTATCTGTCAAGCAAGAAAGGACCGACACACTACAGTGACCTTTCCTGTATGTCGGTGGCAAAAGAATATGTAATTTTCCTTCAGCAAATAGGAGGACTAAGAGTTTCAAATGATTTACTTGTTTTATTTCCATAGCAGATGGTCTTAATATTTTCTATAAAAACAACACACCTTGACAAAGGCATAACAAATCAATTTAAAATGTGAGTTAAAATATTCTTATCTGATAAATCTGATTTACGGGGACATTTCTAGATGGGCCAGGCCTTATAGGACAGAGAAGGAAGAACTAAAGAGAGGTTTTCTGAGAAATAAGAATCACTCGCCAATCTTTAGGATGGCTTGACTGAAAGTGCAGTATCTGTGATGAACCCACAAACTAAAACTAAGAGGACTTCCCTGAGCAAAAGAAATATTACAAGGATAGAGAAGGTTATTTTTTGATAATAGACCCTCTTCTTTTCTTAAAACAAGAAGCTTGCAGTAATTTAGGTTATTTTTAGATTGGGAATTCCAACTTATTCACCTTCAATGAGCTGTGAAAGTTGTGGACCCACAATGATTTCAGTGACATCACTTTTGCGAATCACTTTTCGGTATCGAATCTTATAGCCAGTAATTTGCCCATTATGTGTTCCTGTGGGAGGCGGCTGCCAATGCATCACAATGCTCTGTGGGAAGTTAAATGGCATTATAAATCATATTATCTAAGTTAAATTAGGCTAATTGTCATGCTTCATTAATCTCCACTATACTGGTCCAAGAAATAACTTACACATACTTAGAAATATTATATATGAACTTAATATCTCTGACATTAAAATGGTGTACCTGGAAACAACCCAACCATATAACTTGCAAATAATATTGTATGTATGTAGTGTCAACAATTTCTGCAAGATACTGAAACATTAACATGACTCTTCACCATAGTGAATCTTCACTATTTGTACACTGGGCTGGTACAGTCAATGTTTACTGTTGCTTTTAAGCATGCAAATTGAGAATTTATTCAGCCCCACCCCCCCAAAAAAAAAAAACAAGGGGAGGGAGTTTATAAACTATAGCTGATTCATCATACATTCATAGGAAGAAAATCAGATGCTTCACCCACATCTAAACCTTGTCTTACCTTGGAGTTTTGCACTTCTAGTGTTAGATTCTGGGGTGCAGCACTGGGAACTAGAAACGTTAAAAGAAGTTATTCAAATATGGTTCAAAATTCAACATCTCTCAGAGAGCACTGTATCCCCAATGTAAATTAAAAATGAATTATAGTTGTTCCAGTTTAAAAGCAAGTGGATTTTATCGTGATCTCCCAATTTCACTGAATATTTATGTGAGTGTGTGTGTAAATTTTCAGAGTAATATCTACAAAGATTTGTCAAGATAATACCTCATATTGCTAGAAGCAAAGATATATGTACATATACACACAGACACACAGACACATAGTCTCTTAAGATACTTTGCTCAATACCAAAAATAGAAGACAAAATATAGAAAATGCAAAGGAAAAGCCCAAGAAACCATTTTTCCCAAAAGATTTCAGCACAACAACTTCCTATTTAGATCTATATAGTATGAAGAAGCCAAACCAAATTGGTTATATATAAAATGCAAATAAATACATAGGAATTCTTTCTACAATTTGAAAACACTTACCATCTGACAGTGTACGAATGACAACGTCTTGAGTAGAGACTCCTGGACCATGTTTATTGTAGGCCACAACTCTGAAGCTATACTCTGTATATTTTTTCAAACCAATTACTGTATAGGAAAGACCTCCAACATCAATGTCCTATTTAAAAAGATGAAAAATGTGATGCATAAATCATAATTTGGGCTTGATAATTTATGAAATATGCCAGGTCCACATTATGGCTATGCTTGAATATTTGCTCATTTCTGGTTCTGGAGATTTCTCTCTCTGTCCCAGTTATCCTGTGTTCACATCATAAATACAATATAACTGATGCCAAAATAATCTATTTAGAATCAAAGCAAAGCTTCCTAATCAGTCAGGATAACACAGGCATGGTTTTCAAGTGAATTGATGCTTCTATAGTTTTTGCACCAATACATTCAAAAACAGAAGGAAGTATTTACAAAAGTCAATATGAATTTTAATATATACGAATATTCATCAGAAAGTCACTCCTCCAGGAGAAAGTCATCTCTTTGTATATCTGCAAACAATAACTCAGAGGACAGGGGCATTCCTTAAAGATCACACTTTTCTTGATGAGACCTTCTGATCTAACTGGAGTAGTGGTTTTTCTAGGTCTTAGCCATTAGGAGCAGAAGAATGATAAACAGATGCAAGAATTATATCCCATAAACATAATATGCAAATATAAAAACTGCTTTCTTAACATACAAAGTATCTCACCTGTTCGTTCTCCATTCCCTTCTCCGTGTAATACAGTTTGTAGTTCTGGATCTCGCCATTGCCCGATAAGGGCGTACCCCAAGTAACCGTTATTGATGTGGGAGAGATGGCATAGGCACGAATGTTGGGGGCTGGACCTGGAAGCTGAACTAAATAATAAGCAGGGCGTATTACAAAATAATAAAAAAAATAATATTAACAACAAAATGTCAAAAAGAGCAACGTAAATAGCAAGCCGCCGATATTTAATGCTTACCTTCAGGCTGTGTGGCTACTTTCAATGGTACTGAACTCTCCCCAGGTCCATGTTTGTTTTGGGCCACCACCCTGAAAATATATACTGCTTCGGGCATCAGGTTTTGGATTGTCACTTGCATTTCTCCAGGATGACTTGTGTTTTCAACACGCTCCCTTTATTTAAAAGAAAAAAAGAAAAAACAGTTGGGAGTGAAAACGGGCATGCAAGACTTATTAGGACAGATCACTGTTGTTTTATGTTAGAGTGAAATCATCAATTATGGATAACACGAATATTACTACTGCTGTTTTGATTTAATCTAGGACAATTAATTGGGCAGCCACAGATTTACATTATGAAAGATGCAAAATAACTATGATAAACTTCATTGAATTAATGTGGAGTACTAGACGATATAAAATAAACCCATCTGTAACCACCACAGCCTTCAAGTAATTGATACCCAACTTTTAATGTAACCATAATCAAAGATGCCTTTCAGTGAGAAATTGGTAGAACATGACAGCACTACAGTGGTTTTTTTTTTTTTAAATTAGAATCTACAAGCTACAAGTCCAGACTGTTAGAAGAAATGGCACCAAAAAGATGAATAGAAAAAAATGAAGCAAGTAATTATTGTATAAGCATGGACAGCATACGAGACTCAGGACTGGAAGTATTTATGCAATCTTTGAACCAGTGGAGTCTGATGGCATCTTCCATTCATGCTCCATGTCTTTGGCATAGCTTGAAGTTTTAAGCATCACGAAAGTCTGGAACAATTTTGTGAAATCATCTAAACTAAATAACTAGTTCTGCTTGTTTTAATGATTAAACTTCGGTCTATAGCGCATACTAAAGGGAGAGGCTGTGATGCTTCGCCTATCAGCCCAAGTCTTATTTTTCAGTTATGGGTCAATACTTCTAAATGTTCACAGTTTAGCAATAATTAAAGAAGCACACCTGTTACTCAATTCCTTGGTGTAGAACACTGAGTAGGTAAGATTGTCTCCCTGTGGGTCAGACGCAGGGGTCCTCCATGTTAGCTTGATGAAGCGAGTAGATACAAGAGACGCCACCACATCTCGAGGGGCAGAAGGCAAAGGTCCAGTTGTAGCTGGTGCTAGATGGTCAGTAGTGGCACTGGTCAGTGAAGTGGGAGGTAATGTTGGGATGGCAACATCTTGTCATGTGCAAACATTGGGGAATATGAAGGGCAAACATCACGACGATTTAAGGAGAAAACATAAAAAAAACCAAAAAAAGAAATAAACAAAACCACGATGGAAAACAAAACAAAACGAACACACAAAAAAGGCCATTAAACTGAAGGTTGGCATGCAGGCAAAAAGGTAACTACTGAAAACTAATGGGGAATATCAAGGAGACATATCACTATTGGAGAAGCAATCAAAAAAATCTCCATTATAATGGAAGTGAGAAGGAAGGGGAGGATGAAAATTACATATAAAGAATCATTTCATCATTAAAACATTCGTTTCCGAAAATTAAGTCTGGTTATGGGGTAACAGTTAATTTTTTAGAAAACCATCTGTTCAAATCTGGAGTCAAATGCATGGAGGATTATAACATTTGTCCTTAGCGGAACTAGGACAGAAAGGCAAAACATTCAAGGTAAAGTAGCACAGTAAAACTTCTTAAAATATTGCTAAATTATGTATTTTTTCATTTGGGACATATTCTTTTTACTGATCTCAAATACCACTATATGAACTGTTATACTAAAATGGTCATGGTAATTTAAAATTGTATTTTTTTTTAATGAAACAATTATATTTTAATTAATTGCTCTGAACAAAGAAGAATATTCAATTTAAAAAAAACTTGAAAATTGCATATTACATCTCTCTTCATTAAATCTAGTAAAAACTCATTAGTAAAGTCATTATAACTAAATTGCATAGCATGATCATCCATTCTAAAACAGAATTGTTATTTTGTTCCCCAACACTGGCCAACGCTATTCTGCCTTATACAATCATACTGAAGAACAATAATTAGAACAGGATCCTTTACATATTAACAAAAAAAAGCCTTTAAGTTATCTCTTCTTTTATCTTCTTTAAGCAGTGTCATTTTTCAATATTAACTGGAGGCAGTCATTAATTGATACAGTATTATTTATGCGTTGGAATAAATTTCAGAGGCAACTCAAATGCCTTGACAGATGTGGAGATTTTATAAAATGGTTTGGCATAATGATGAATAAAAGATGAATTATAGAACAAGGGAGGGGAGGAGAAAGGGAGAGAGAATTGAAAGGGGGAAAAACAAAAGATGGAAAAATTAAAGAGATAAATAGTAACACTTATACTGAATATTACTGGAGAGAAGTTGAAATACTATATCAAGGAGGCATTTTCGTGGCATATAGAAAACTTGGCTATAAAGCAATGGGAAGTTTATGGAAATTGCCAAGCCTTACAGTTTCAAACTGCAAATTTGTACTGATCAACTGTAACACAGACTTTCCAACTCCATATGTTGTAATTGTAATTCTTGAATGGTGCAGACAATATGAAGATATTTTAATTATTTAAAACGTTGGGTAGTTGATTTTTTTCCTGATCTTTGAAGTTATTAAAAGTATATCTGTTGAGCTCCCTAGCTCTACTGTAGTTATTTTCACTGGGATGTTTTCTTTAATCTTTTTTTTCCAGTGCAAACTTTTAAAGGAAATCATAAAAGTGCAATAAAAACAACCCTCCCGTATTTGGGAAATGTTTTGTTTTAAAGGAAGTCATTTTATTCTTTACTATCATGCCCAAATAATAAAAAGGTGTGTCACCATCAATATATCAACAAAGAACATTAAAAAGGAAAAGCAACATTTCCTGCCAGTCCAACCAAAAGTGATGCTGTATTTTAGATAAGATAGGAAAATCAATTGTTAGTGTAATAGGAAGATAAGGCAGAAAAATATTTTGCACATGTCCAGTAATAAAACATACATGCTCAAGTCTTTCACTTAAGAGGTTAAAATCCAATGAGGAACCACCCTAACATGTTCTATTAGAACTTGGAAAAAAGAACAGCACACAATTATGCCATTAAAATCCAGCTGTCACACACGGATTTATCTTTTTGAGAACTGTGAAATCTTCAGAAATATAGCATCAAAATCAATTCTGAACACTCAGGCTTCACATATCATGCTAAATCATAATGTGGTTCATATCAGATCCCTGCAGCTTTTCCAACAAACTTAGCCTCAGGGTTATCTTGTAAGTAGTTTCAAGAATGGAATACTACCCCGATTATAAAAACACATTACCAATGGATTTCCTTAAACCGACAGCATTAAGTAAGATTTCAACTTTTCTTCTAAGCCTATGGATAAACAGCTCATCAAGAAGAAATAATGTATCAATTTCATATTGATAGGATAGAGTATTAACTTTAAAAGTATTTATAAGAATAGAATGCTAAAAAGGCATGTGTTAATTGTAGGCCAAGACCATGAGTTCCAGTCCCGCCTTAAGCATAATGGCAGCTGGGTAATCCTGGGCCAGTCACTTTCTCTCAGCCCTAGGAAAGAGGCAATGGCAAACCACTTCTGAAAAACCTTATCAAGAAAACTGGAGTGGACTGTCCAAGCAGTATCTGAGAATTGGGCACGACTGAACGGGGAAAAAAAACAAAAATTATAGGGAGGAACAATCTAACCACGAGTGAGCAGTGCCCCATGGGGAGGAAAATATAGCTCGATATTCTGCCCTATATTTTAACAATGTATGACTCTACTTTCTTACCATGATCCAGTATTATCAGCTGGGCTCCAGACTGTATATTTCCCACATCATTTTCCGCAATACACTGATAAAAGCCTTCGTCTGATTTCACCAAACCCAAAACTTGTAGGTTGTGCTCATTCTTTAAAAAAACAAAAACAAAGATGCACAGCATTCACTATAACATCTTCTAGTCACTGTTCAGGATTTTGAAAATAAAAACTATAAAAATATGTGTGTGTGTGTGTGTGTGTGTGTGTGTTATATATTCACAACTCTCTTTCTATCCTTATCATTCAGACTTGTCCTTATTTTATTCTTTGTTTGTTTTTTACATCTTATTTTTTTTACATCCCCCTTATTTATCACCGTTCAATGCTGACAGAAGTAATTTAATAAGTCCTTCATTATTTATTTACTTCTGCCATTTGCGTATTGCCCAATCTGCAAAGAATTCCTGCTGCTTTATGATCATCTCCCTTTGGTGTTTCAACCTCTAGCGGTTCTGCCCTATCAGCAAGGCCAGGAAAGGACAAAGGGCAAGACAGCGTTCCCTTTTCGTTCAATGTCCATAAAGCACCTGAACTGAAACACCATGTCTTGTTTCAGCAGTAACAACCTGATTGCATTCTTTCCTATGCTACCTACACAGAGCAATTTAGTCCGTATCCTCCAACATGCCGGTCTTCCGTCTCCGTTTCTGGCTGAAGCAGTTGCTATACGCAACCTACAGATTGGTTGGCCTTTTCTTTTCTCCAGTTTTGCTGTTATATACTTTTAGTTGTTGGCTTTTCTTTTCTACAGTTCACTGCCATTGGGATTTTAAGCTTGGCTATAACGAGGGGACCAATAGGGAATAAATTTTCTCCTTAGAATCCTACTCCCGATACCTTCCAATAAAACATGAATGGAAGGATTCTTTGCTAAGTAGTATAAAACTGAATTGGTACATTTTTTCATGTCTTAGCTCTAGGATGCAGTTCATATCAACTGTATAACTGGAAATATTTCCAGTTTAATGATAAGAAACAGTCCTGCAACCCCAAAAGCTCTTCCAACTCTCTCTAGGTGCAAACTGTTGTGACTGGGTTATTTGAAGGGAAAGATTTTTATATTTACACTTTCTAGGGAAACATACTAGTGATTCCAAGCTATTGGGCATTCCCGTAAGCATGAGCTTGCATAAGCATTAAACCAGTCCAAATGTCTTATTAAAGATGTACTTACTACAATTTTAAAGTAGTCACTAGGGATGACCACATCTCCGTTCTTTACCCACTTGACCGTTGGAGTTGGCTTTCCGCTCACGTCGCATTCAAATACAATATCCATGGATTCGTGTGCATAAATATTAGCAGGCTGCTTCAGAAACGTGGGAGGCACTTCAAAGTGAGAAAGGTCAATGACTAATTATTGATCAAACAGAAAATGGCTTGATCGGACAATATCTTTTCATTTATATTTCAAAGATATCTAACTTTATTCTAAGATGCCTTCCATCCATGGTAAAGAACAAATAATTAAGCTATACAATTTTACAAAGGTTAACTTGTGGCAAATTTAGACAGTTTTTTTTTTAAATTACCAAATTATTCTTTAAACAAAAAACTTATGAGAAGCAAAGATGAGCTTTACAGCTTATTTTCATATTGAAATCCCAGTTAAAGCTTTCAGCTATATTTTTTAATATCAGTCAGCAGATCAAGATCAAATGTCCTGTTTTAATGACTGTAATACAATTCTGAGTGTCTAAGTTCAGGCACATGCTCAAACTTCACCCACAAATGACCTTTTCTGAGTGGCAAAGGGAATAATTTTGTTTTGTATGAAATAAGTAAGCCACATCGGTGATGTTTTAGTCAGCAACACCAGAACTGATTCAAATAAATAGATCTGAAATATATTCTAACCATGAATGCTTATAATTGTATTGTTGAAACTGTACACGGTAATGTACACCTGCCTTTAGTCTCTAAAAGCCCCATTACCATGAATTTTAATTTTAATTATAAGACCAATAATTTCAGATAAGTGCCAAAAGAGAAACATAAAATTTCCCACTGTTGCAGAATTTAAAAATGGGAAAGCAAATACACTGTTGCCAGTGTAGCAGAGATAATCTTCTAAAAGTGGCGAGCTATCATAAATCAGCAGCTGGCATAAAGCTTTGTTAATACATTATAAATAAGTTTTTAAGAAATCTTAGTTGAAATCTAAAAGCTATCAAATACAATTCTCTTGGGTATCACTATCACTATCAGAGATACTTTATGTATATACATATCAACTACTCGGGGATATATTTTGGTCTCACAGGATTTGATGGGAAGCTCTTAACTGAAAAAGCAATTTTTCACAAAGATTCATTCACTAATATCTTGGTTTTAAGTTTCGTAATGCTTCTTCATAAAAGTAGAAACAAAGCAATTCATTATTTCTAAATGTCTGTAAAGAATTAAAACAAAGAAGAAGACTGTTGATGAACAGTGTTACTTTGGGAATGTATTTGTCAATATTTCCATCTAGTAGCTCTTTTAAAGTCCAGAACAATTTATAATATAACAAGGATGCTTTTGAAAATAATTCTGCTACTAGAAGCTCCAAGATTTCCCAGGTGTCAAACAAAAAGGCAGAGGAACCACCTACATGTGATATTAAGGCTTTTATTTTATTTTATTTTATTTAATGAATGAGAGCAATAGCAACTTTCTAAATTCACACACAAATATGGAATTCAACCCCATTTTTTTTAGCACTGAGTTATTATTTAAATCAACCTATATACTCTGGCTGCAGGAGTAATTAGGGGTGCTACCAGTTCATTTACGTTTTTCAAATGTTCATTTTAAATCTTCATTTGAAAAGAACAAAGAGAAATTCCACTTGATAGAATTTTGTTAACAATAATGTTTGACATTGACAGGCCAGGAAGCTCAAAAACCAATGTAATTTACGTCATACCATTTTCAGGAATCTCCTGCAGTGCTAAATACGGAGGCTGACATTCCCAGCTGAAAAGTGAACTTATAACCTTGTCTTCATCTATCTGTCTCCACGTTACTTCCTGAATTACAGTGATAAAAGAGAAAACTACCTTCTGATCATTTATACAGGGGAAATCTGGTACGTGAGATCAGATCAATTTCCTCTTCCTTAATGTGTCTTTTAATACAGAACCCTAAAATTGAAAGTTGGAAATTTACAGAGGTCGAAAGTTGTTTGAGAGCCAGTTTGGTGTAGGCACCAGGCCAAACACCAGGAGACTGGGAGTTTTAGTCCTGGCTTAGGCGCAAACCCAGCTGGGTGACTCTGGGCAAGCAATCCCCTTTTATCTCTAAGAAGGAAGCAATGGCAAGCCACTTCAAAACTTGTTGCCAAGAAAAGTCGACGCAGACATCAGAAGTCAGGACTGACTTGTACTACGTATACATGTGAATAATATTATCCACTTGCAGAGGTACTACAGAGTCTTTGGCACATTTATGCAGATAATCTACATTACCATAAAAATAATGTGTGTCTCTATTGAAGAATATAGCACACTCTTGGGAGAGAAAAGTTCTTGTTATCTTCAAGCCACAAGGCACTAATGTCAGCTTTGTATTTGCAAAGTAATAAATGAAGCACCTTTATCCACCTCGGGCCATCTGTTTACCTGTCTGCCTAGCATCGTTTTCAAGGCGGAAGCTTTCCAGTGGTTTAAGCTGAGCTCTTTCCCAACTCTGTATAGAAATGTTATAAATTGAATTTGCAGAGGATCTATTATTCTACTTCTAAGCTATGATAATACTCTTGCTTCAGTCCCACTGCTCTCCCAATACCTGGGATCGATAATCATAACTACATTTCTTTTGCTCCTGAACAAAACAATTGATTTTTTAAATAATTCAACTGCCTCAGCTATATTAGCACTTATTTTTCTTTTTTTTTAAAAAAAGAGCATATATGCTTATGTATATAGATATATGTACCCTGCACAGTAAGATCAGCTCGGGCTTCTATAGTTTCATTCCCATTATCTGCGATGCAAGTATATGTTCCTGAATCATCTTCGGTGATATCATTTATCTTCAGAGTTCCCCCAGACAGGAACAGAAATTTGTGAGAACTGTATAAAAGAAGACACATCATCGCTGGAGTGATTTTTTGAGGGATTCATGGTTTTTTAAAAAACGATTATGAGGGATTCAGTTTTTTTAAAAAAATGCAAACATTTACAACATTGGGCTGTTGGTTTGAGCTCCAAGCTTGGCAATTTGGTGGCAAAGGTTTCATCACCATTTGAGGAGTCATCATCAGAGTGCTTTGAATTTTGCTTGTCTGTACAGGTAACCAAATCGCCAAGCTCGGAGCTCAAACCAACAACCCAACTACCAACCTGAGCTACTAATATTCAAATATATTTACAACATTCTTTGGAAGCCAGAATATTTTTAACATCCTAACTCTCAAAACATGTTAGTTCTTAAATTCAACTGAAAATATTCTGGTTGAAAATCTGCTGCACTAATTATTACAGGTGATACAAGTCAACATTGCCATAGCAACTATCCAAGGCTTAGGAATGTTTGAAGAATTAATAATTGACACAAAGACAATAATTAAAACAAAAGCTCCAATGAACAAAGCTAAAAAGCACTGAGCTTATAATAACATATAAGAGCTTGAATACTAAGAGAGGGCGGGGGGGGGGGATATTTCCAAAGTATATGTAGTTGTGTCATAAATACTGTATGGCTTAGAGATTGGAAAGCTGGATAGACAGACCTATAAGCTCAACAAGGCATTGTGACAGAATGTGAAATAAATACCAAGTTATATTAAGAGATTTCTTATGGCAAATGATACATATTCGTATACATACAAGTCACCTTTGGCTCTAACATGTCCATTCATCCAGGACCTGACAGTTGCTTCCTAAAGCAGCTGTGCCCTTTCCTAGTCTAGCATCACCCATTTTTAAACAAGAAGGCCCTCCTGTTACCACTTCAATGCTTTCTTAACACAGACACAAATTTGACCCGCCCTTCATCGACATTTTTGTTAGGTTCCTCTTTTTAGCAGTTTCCACGATATAGGACAATAGTTGATGGCTCTGTCTGCTAACCAGCTGTCTCCCAAGAGCAACAATTTCTGTGACTTCCACATGGAATATCAGAATTAAAAACTCACTTTTCAGTAACAAGCTCTTCTTCTTTTCGTGTCCATCGGATTGGAGGGACAGGAATGCCTGAAGCAACACATGGTAAAACTGCACTCTGCCCGGTCACTTTGGTAAGGGAAAAGGGCTGTTTCAGGAAGAGCAAACCTGAAGAAAGGTTGGATTCTGCAAATAGTATCAGGAAATAGCAGGTTAAATTAAATGAAAAGGGATGGTAATATAATATTCTAACTGGTTTTTCACTTGCTTCTAATAAAACATTTAACAGCAAATTAAGATTAGAGAAATGTGATTGAAATTGGCATAGATACCAGCCTTATCTTGCCATAGTGTCTAAAACTACACTTGTTTTGTTAATATTCAAGAAACCCCCTGGCAAAAAACTGAAACAGATAGAACGGAGGTGCCCAACCTTGGCAACTTTATTCCTCAGCCAACTTAAAAGGTGCCAAGATTGGACACCCTTGCTTTAGAATAGACTTTTAGAAGGACTTTTAAAGGTCGCAGAGAAGCATCCATTTCAAACTAGCAAGTTTGAATTCCAAGTTTAGAATTTCTGATACCCACGGAACAACCTTACTCGTGATGCGCAAGAAAGAACCAGAAGAGGGAAAACCTCGGCACCGGTGCCTGTACCTGGAAGGACTTTGATCTCTGCTTCATCGCTGTATTTGGGAGGCCCCCCAATTTCGATAACACAACAGTAAGTTCCAGCGTCTTCATCTGTAGCATTGCTGACAATTAAAGTTCCGCTTGGCAACTTGAGGACACGATCGTCCAGAAAGAGGGGCTGATGATCCAGCTCCCACCTGACGAACGGTGCGAGGTCAGCATTAACTTCACAGTTAAGAACTATGGGGTTTCCTCTATGAACAGATGCCGACTCTGGCTGAGTAATGAATCTTGGAAGCCCTAATGACAACAAAAATGAGAAAAAAAAACCAAACAAATAAGCAAACAATGCAAGCACATTCCTATAGCTTTTATTTTGCCCTGAGACAGGCTGATAGTATTTTAAGCTAGCATTCTTTTACGCATTAAAAGATTCATAAATTCATTATCCACGTGTCTTGTGAACAGTGGGTATGCAAGTCCTTATTATAGATTCTAGTTTGAGAACTTACTTTTGAATGCCACAACCAATAAGGAGAGAGTAGAAACTGTTCCATGTCACATATTTAATTAAATTAGAGCCTAATTGGAACCACAGTTTAAAATCAGATGGGAGGAAGTAGCATGTCAGATGAACAGTTTATGCACAGCTAAAAAATTAATGAACTAAAAAGAAAAAACATAAAAAGAAAAGCCGTGATAAAATATAAAAGAATGGCCTGGGGCCAGTCACACTCTCTTCAGCCCTGGGAAGCAAGCAGTGGCAAACATTTCCCCAAAATCCTGTCAAGAAAATTGCAGAGGCTAGAACAGGAAGTAGTCAGGAGACAACACTGATTCAAAAGGACAAAAATAACACAAGTATTTACAACACAAGTACTTATTCCACTAGTGAATCCATAAACAGCAACAGCATAAAATATAGACTCTGCATAGCTGCCATCCCATAATTATTACAGTAGTATCCCAGGGAAAGCTTATTATAACATACCACACCTATTACTTCTGGTGTTATAAAAATACGAACATATAGATGAGTGGTCTAGAACAGCGGTCGCCAACTGGTGGCCCCCGGCCCACTGGTGGGCCTTGAGAAAATTTTGGTGGGCCACAGAAAAATCTCACCCCCAGAGCACCTCCCCAAAGCAATTAATCCAAGCTGCACAGAAACACAAGACTGCGCCGCCCACATGGCCGGCAGGAACCCTCCCCGCCCACTCACTCCTTACCGGGCAAACTTGCCTGCTAAAATTGCTATTTTTCCTTTTTCCGACCATCATCTGTTCTGCTATGCTGGGAGATTTAGATTAGCTAGGAAGCAGGAAATGGTTGGATTTCTTGCTTTCTAGCTAGTCTTTAGATCTTCAGCTCTGCTTCCCTTAGGACTGAAGGTTTGCTTGCAAGCAAATTCAGTGCAGACTCTCAGCAAGCAAATTTGAGAGACTGAGCTAGCCGATGGCAGATAGATAGATCACTGAATGATTCTGTGAGCAACTCAATCTGCCTGCTTTGCCTGATTTGGGGTAAAAATTGCTTTTTTTATAAAAAAAATTCAATATTTACATACATGGTGTGTTGTGGGTTAATTTTAGGAGTTTGCTTGCAAGCAAATTTTTTGTGACAGACTGAGCTAACCAATGGCAGATAGATAGATCTCTGAATGAATCTGTGATTCTGTAAGCAACTCAATCTGCCTGCTTGCTCTGACTGATTTTGGGTAAAAGTTGCTCTCTTTTTTTAAATAAAAAATTCAATATTTACATGCATGGTGTGTTGTGAGTCTGGACGAACACAATACAGAAGCCTGATGATGGCAGATGAGATTCTGCCGAAACATTGCTACAGCTTTAAAAGCACAACTACAATGACGTGGGAAAATACCCGAACAAAGCTGAATACCATACATATAAGTACCCACGAAAACTTAGAAAGTTAAGGAAAGAGACAGAGAGGCTTAATTCTGGCTGCATAAGAACAAATGTATACAAAGTCAACATTGAGAAAACAGCAACAGACAGCAAATGTTGCCCTCTGCAAAGAAGGAAAGAGTGGACCACCTACTTAATTGCTGCAGGAAGATCACACGGACAGATTACAAGCAGCAGCGTAACAAACAATGGTGCATTGGAAGATGTGCAAGAAATACCATTTGTCTGCAAGCAAGAAGTTGGCCACAAAAAAGAGACAACCATAGAAAATGAAGAAGCTAAAGTACTTTGGAACTTTAGAATTCAAACAGACAAGCAGCTGCCACAGAATACTCCCAATAAACAACTGTTGATAGGAAAGAAAGGAAGGAAGGAAGGAAGGAAGGAAGGAAGGAAGGAAGGAAGGAAGGAAGGAAAGAAAGAAAGAAAGAAAGAAAGAAAGAAAGAAAGAAAGAAAGAA